CCGAGATATTAATACCTTTCATAGCACTATTACTAATATAAAGAGCTAAAGTTTGAGTTATTAATAAAAACAAAAATGGAAAAATAGGACATCCTTGTCTCATACCTCTACCAATATCAAATCTTGGAGAAGTCCCACTATGTAACTTAACTGAACTATTAGAACCATTATAAATAATTTTAATAACATTCTGAAAACACTGACCAAAACCAAATAATTCTAAACATTAAAACTAAAATTATGTTCTATCGTATCAAAAGCCTTATAAAACTCAAGAAAAAGTATATTACTGTTGCGTTCTATAAGATCACTATAGTCTATCAAATCCAAGATCAGATGAATATTGTTGCATACTGTACAGTATGTCTACCTCGGCTACACACGCAACTCCTGCATCGATTGACAAAAAAACCCGGAAACTCACGCCTTTATTGAGACGTCACAGAGCTGCGACGGAGATGACATAATTAAAGCAACAGTGCACGAGGCCGTCCGTCTTTGCTGTCGGTGTGGAGCTGCGACCCAGGATACTTTGGTTCCGCCCGTTCCTTGAAAACGGCATTTTGTTCTCCACAGGGAAGGGAGTTTATTTATTTTTTTAACTCCCACCGGCCCTGGAGAGTTTGTCTACTGTCGAGTCAGCTCACGCTGTTGAAAAATTCCACCTTATTGAGTTCAGGCACGCTCTGTTTTTCTTTTTGTACGTTTTCGTAAGAAACGAGAAAATGTTATGCAATGCTCTCAGAAGTACGTATACGCATCTTGGTACATTATAGAGGCGCGTGTCACAAAATACTAAATGTGGCCAAGAACTATGAGGAACATACGTCTTTCGTGAGATTTAGTAATATTTCAGAGATATACCCTCACGTTTCTTTTCTATTGCTCAACTGTAGTTCTTGCTTTTCATTTTATGCATATAATAAATGAGCACCTATAATGTTTAATTGATAGATAAATGGCATTGAAACCACTCTAAAATATTAAAAAGTAACCTTTTATTTAACTTTTAAGATCAACTCCTACTGTTTTAACTGGACATAACAAACGTAACGTTTCTGAGATGTTTTCAAAAAAGAAAACGTTATCTGCATTTTTAAACCTATGAAAAAAATGCAATTCTGTGCAGCCTCTCCTTAAACTTCTTGGTTATTTAATGTTTGTTTCACATCACCTTTGTTTTACCCCATTCCATTAGTTTCCCCAAACGAGGTGTTCACACATCCTTCAGCTGACAAAATAGATTTTAAGAGGGCCTAAATATTCAGTAGTGCAAAATAAACTTCATAGATTTTTTTCTTGTAGTTTAATAGATGGTAAATTCCTCCATTGTCTCTTATGGTCTACTGTTACACTCTTAAAAGTGTCAATACCTCTCTCTGGAGAGCATCTGATACAATACAGTATTGATCAACCTTAACAGAGACATTTTATTTGTTCAGAGTGATAGTGTACGGATACATTTCACCATCAGACAATGAACCCAGATTATTCCATTTCTAGCCCACACCTCAAGAAGTTTTATTTTTAAATGTTCCCATTTGGTATTCCAGGTGCTGTCTATACCCCAGAGACCAGTTTTTGCAGCAGTCACGTAGAATATGCATGAATCATGAAGTTTTTCCATATGTTTGGGATCCGTTACTTTTAAATTCAAACTATATCCCCTACTTCTTAAAAGAATATATAACACATTTTGCTCCCCCCACCAACACTTCTGTATCAGTTTTACCTCTAAAATTAGAGGTTATAGAATCTGACGCATTTAGGCCTCCTGCAGTGTTCAAGAAATGCTATTTAAGGGGTTTATTCCTCCCATTTTCCTCAAAGTGAAGGTGGCACAACCAAGACAAGTGAGCCAAGAGCTAACCTAGATAAAACAGGAGATTGAGATGGATGTGGTCTTATTCCACAGCACATCAGGGAGACACACAAGAATCAGTGCATTTGGATTGCTTTGTAAACATACTTTTTTTAAATTCCAGTGTATGAAATGTATCTGTATCAAAGCAGCTATATTTCAGAGAAACAGTTAAGGAATATTAAACCTTTACTGACCACAGTGGTGTTTGAAGCTCCATTCATGTCTGTCAGGAGACAGTGCCTCAGCTGTAGATATTGGCCCAGAGACGGAGATCATTCTTGGTTTACTTTAAACCTGAAGGGTGATGAACAGAAATGGTTTATATTCAATTGTAACCATCTCTGGAATGACAGACTGGATGGCAGTGCTGCCTTGCAGCACCACAGCCCTGGGTTTGATTCCTGGGGTGCTATCCGAATGTGTGCAGACGTTTGTGGACTCCCCACATAGGGGTGTGGCTAATTCACCAGGAGCCAATCCCAACTCTCCTCAAGGTGTCCTACCTCAAAACCCCCACTGCTTCTAAAACAACACACACCTGCTTCCAATGACCAAACAAGCATTAGCCAGCTCCCCTATAGATCTGCTCACCCCTAAACATTTGGAGAAGTAATATCCAAGTTACAAACAGGAACAATTATAGAGTACCATGCCACTCCTGTTAATCCACTCCTCAGCGATTGCGTTTTCCAAGTAAAACCAATTCATTAACCCTTTTATTTTTGTCAATAAAATGTATAATGTGGCTTGAATATAAGAAGTTTCTTTATCCCCCTTGGTCAGTAGTCCTATAAGAACATGTGACAGACCCAAAGTGATCACACTACTCTGACTCACAGTGATATCCCTAAATTCCCTCTGCACAGGGATGGCTATGCAAAAAGAGAGGCAGGGGCCTGGAACTGCTGTCCACTAGATTATTGCCTTTAGGAATACAGGGGCAGAAGGCTGCTAGCAGTAGCAGAAAAGGGCACGGAGCGGAGAATCGGGAAGAGGGGAAAGGGGGAGAGAGTCCGGGAGAGGTCAAGTCCTCAGGCTTGTGTTCCGATATTACACGTCCACTGTAATAATGACGTGGATTTCAACACACTTCCAATACATGGGATGTACCACCCATTTTCTGTGTTCATGTAATACTGGCATCAGATCACGGCGCAAACACTCGTGACCTGCGCGAAGGCCCCGGTTAGGACATTCATAAAACGTTGTTTTGTACTCAGGGTTAAAGATCACCATAGAGCTTTAATGCCACTCCTCCTGATCGTGCTCTTTAGTTAGTTTCGGGTTCATTCAGTCCACATTAGTCGGGCTTTGTACTTATTTAATTATCATTCAATCGTTCAAAGTAGTTACATTTGAAAAAATGCGTTACATGCGTCAGGTCGCAAAAGTGTATTGCTTTTAATGAAACACACTGTAAATATCAAGTGGACCAATGGAAGCACTTTCATTAAACTCTAATCAGCCCACTTTTAAATTCTAGGCTGAGAAGTTAATATGGCACTTTTGGGTTTTGCTGTATTTCAGAGAATGATGCCACAATACGTGTGCTCTCGGGGTAGGTGGTGCATCTTGTATCCGGAGCCCCTTTCCGCTGTTACATTTCTCTGCTGACAGCAGCCCCAAACCTGATCGACTGATCTCTTCGAAAAGCGTCTCGCTGCTCGCGGTTTTCTTCCATTCTATTGGGCTGCAGGCTTGCCACTACCTCACTGAGCTCATTTCCTGCCATCTGCAACTGGCCCTGTTGTGTTAATAAGCAGAGGCGCTGCTCGGGCACCGACAGGAAGAGAAGGCAGGCCGGGGTGTTAAACTGCGCTGTCCTTTGCGATTAATATGGATTATTACCCCAATAGAAGATTCCACGATGCCTCAGATTTCTGCAGTTTGTTTAGATAAGGGATGCCACATAAATAATACATTGTCTTCTGTTCCAAAAACATGGTGAGCATTTGATTTTTATTACTGCACTGGATTGCTCTTTCGGTTGTCCTGGACACTGTGCTTTATTCAGTTTCGTCGTACACAATCCTACCCACAATGAGATGTATGGATTGTAAAAAACATTTCTGTACCCGTCTCTGTAATCGGTATAATGTATCCATGCAACCATTTTCTTTTTCGGATTCCCCGAAAAACAGCTGAAGATGTCTTGTTGAGGGCAAGGAAGAGAACTGTTCGTTCGGTTATAACGCGTGTGGATTTCTAATTTCACATAACATTTTTGTTTTCCGTTGTAAATTCATGTTTGAAGGCAGCGTAGCTTTTATCTATAGCTGAAGACTATAGCGGCCAGTGTAGCAAAGGAAAATACTCTATTAAAGAATGATATCAGATAGGTTTACTGCGGGATTTACGAGTTAAACATACAGTACAAATAGATGGCCCGTAAAAATAGTAATCGTGCGGTACAAAGTAATAACTTAGAATTTTGTTTTCTTCATGCATATAAATTAGTCTGATTTTGTCTCCGTAAATGGCTGAACATCAGTGAATGTTCATGTATGTGATATATTAACACCCATGTCAAAGTTGTCTAAATTCCAGTAAGTGTATCAATAAAAAATAATATTACTTTCAGTATGTATAAGAACGATTTATTGTTTTTAAAATCCATCTTTATTAGCCTGGCCTGAACGAAATGGAAGAAGTGCTGTAGTTATTCGGTTAATGAGGCACAAACCGTAAGAGATTTTTTCGTGTTTGTTGTGTCTTCGCCTTGTGGTTAAAATCATATATGTGTATTTAAAACATATCTTTAGGAGATACGTCAATAGTACACAAACTAAATTAGGGGCGTTATCCACAACATTGGAGTTTTTATATTTTAAAACTGGCAGGGTGTAATTTGTTTTGCAAGGCAGTCCTGTGACAGTATAGTTTCGTTTTAAATATAGCTACCAGCCGTTAGCAGACGGAATTGTTGAGTGGTTTTTTTATGTATGTATACGGGACACATTGGGTAAACTGTCTCAGTCATCTTTCAAAATGTAATTAGCCAGGCAATGCAGATATCACAAGTTCAAATTTGATAGTTTAGTTTTCATACTGGTCTTGCCCTTGGATTATTCTCTTTTATTATCATCAAAGAAAGATGTTTTAGCATGGATATTTAAGGATATTTTACGTTGTGCGAAACTACAGTTGCTGACGATTGCTATAACCTGTAATTTTAGGGAATTGTTGGTGTTTCATTTAGGTTTTTCCAGAGGTGAACAACTGTGTCTGTTACTTCGTGTGTAAGAGGTCCTTGTGGTGTCCGTGAATCATGTCTGTAAACAAGAAGGACTGAGTTGGAGTGGACTTCCTGACGTCCTGTAAATTCCCTGTTTCCAGCATTCTTGCAGAACATGTTCTGTTGTAGAAAAGGGCGCAATGCAAACCGAGTCAGCTAGAACCGTCAAAAGTCAGCACTGGCTTCAACTAGTCAGCCCACTGGCAACAGTGCTTTTAAATACGCTGCATCGTATCCAAGTAAAACCCGTATACAAGGTTTTGCTTCTGTTTTAGTTTGTCAGTTCCAATAGAATAGCGTCCTTATCATCTTACAGACCCGTATTTACATGTATTCATGTACCGAAAGCGATTTACAATTGCGTCGGGTCAAGTTACAAAGGGCGCATGTAACAGCAGCGTAAAACCACAGAAAAGGTGCAGAAGTGTGAAGAGGTTGCTGGGTCAGGTACTGTATGCCCTGAAAAGATGAGTTTTCAGTTTATTCGGGAAGATGGCAGGTCGGTCACCATTAGAGAGCCTAAGACTTGGATAGTCTCCATAACAGCATTACCAGCTGGCGTTAGAAACAGGCGGAGGGACACCTGCAAGTTAGTTGCAGCAGTCGTGTAGAATATGCTTGAATCATGAAGTTTTATATATTTTGGGGATCTGTTTTAGAACATCGAAAGGTAATAAAGAAACTCCTGTTCACACTGCAGGTTTGAGATCGTGGTATTTCCTTGAGGGGAGTTAAAGGAATTTTCTGAAAAATATTATTGTAAGATTTAAATGATGTATAATAAAGGAAAAGAAGCCATGGTTTTGTATCATTTCTATTTTACTGCAGTGCTATGCTGAACTGACGTGGTGTTCTGGTGTGCTTTAGGTCTGTCTGGCGCATCTCTAGTCACTGACAAGAAGTTGTACCTGGGAAAACCTTCGTTTTCAGCTGAGCCTCCAAAAGCCTCCTTCCAGCTGCAGATCAGTCCCTGTCCAGCCATGTCCATCATGGACCACAGCCCCACCACTGGGGTGGTGACCGTCATCGTGATCCTCATCGCCATCGCTGCGCTGGGTGCTCTGATCCTCGGCTGCTGGTGCTACCTGCGCCTGCAGCGCAGCGGCCAGTCCGAAGACGAGGAGAGCATCGTGGGTGAAGGCGAGACGAAGGAGCCCTTTCTGCTGGTGCAGTACTCGGCCAGGGGCCCACGGGTGGAGAAGAAAACCAAGCTCACCCCCAATGGCACCGAAAGTCACAGCTAACTCAACTCCTTCAGAATGCCCTCGTCAAGACCGAAGCTCTTTCTTCTTCCAGGTCACACCAGTCCAATCAATCTAGGTCCATCTGTGAAGATGTGTACTGTGAACAATATTAATAAGCTGGGGTTTTTGTCTGAGATTCTGGCTTTCCCCCTTGTCCAGGATGAATTGACATACTCTCGAGGCACACGGCGCCTCTCAGCTTTGAGTGAAGTTTTAAGCAAATGCATGCACTGAATGTTTTTATAATTAACTTTTTTTATTCAACTTTTGTCTAATTTAAATATTTAGCTGAGCCTACCCTTAAATGAAGCTATAACTACTACAGTTATCTCATCCTGTTATTTAACCTGTAAATTACACATACGCATCAGTACTGACCAGATGAAAGGCCGTGGAGACCTGCAGTGCAAAGTCACGCATGTCCAGCTTCACCGTGAACGATGTGCTTCAGAGAGCAGAATGGAGCCATGCAGAGTGTCACAAGGCCACACAGAGGAAGACTGGCACTCACTTCCCAAACAATCTCATACTTGTGGTTTGTGTAGCACAATGTAGGCTTGGGGGTGCCTGTCTAAATTGCACCTTGTTCATTCAGGGCATTTTCATTTTTCAAAAGAAATGTTTCTGAGAACAGTATTTGAACAAGATAAGTGTTTTCACTTAAGAATAGCTGCTACCTTTTTGTGCGGTTCCATACTTACTGCTAGGATGCTGCCAGCAAAGTCTTGAACCAATGATGGATTTTGAAGGTTTAATTATAACCTAAGAAATCTGGATGGTCCTCCCCAGTTTATTTTGATGGTGGCTGAGCAGTATAACAAAGTAACTCTGAAACTGCATTAACTGGAAATGTATAGTTTTATAATGTAATTTCTCCTACTATAAGATGTGGAAATAAACAGCACTTTGATTTATTGGATTGTTTTACACAATACTTTAACTCCTTTAATTCCCATTATCCCAATTCAACACCACATTGTACATGTTCTGTGGTCATGTCCATTTTTTTAGATGAAGAAAAAAAATGCAGAAATAACTTTTTCACATTACTATGAAATTACAAATTCTGCTCTCAACAGGGCAGTTGAGGGCAATGTGTCAAGCAAGGGATGAAAAGTAAAGAATGGCACATCTTGTCATTGAATTCACCCACCCCATGTGAGAAGCATTCAGATGACCCTGTATGACTCCTGGCACGACACCAGCAAACACATCTGGACATTACTGCTGTGCTGTGTTATGCCAGTAGGGCTGGTGGGAGCTCCAGGCGTGGTAGTGGTTGAGTTCATGGTACATCACTCACTGAAGTCTGCATGACAAATATATTGTTTTTATGTTGGCAATAACATTTTTTCAGCTGATTAAATGTTGTAGCACCAAAGTTTGCTTTTATGTGCGATATGTAACGTTTTACTGCAAGAAAGTTATGTACAATGTTGATGTGATCACTGGTATCTGCTGTTTTCCTTGTACCTAGTACAACCTAATAAATTGTTTAGGAATGCTTTCTAGTTGTTCCTGAAACAAAATTGAAAGTTTGTTTTTTCAAGAAAAAAACTACATTATAAACATTTAAAAAAGGAAAGTTTAGTTTAAGAAACTTTTGATTACTCAACTGGTATAAAACTTGATCCAAACCGCAACAGCATACATTGTGTATCAGCTCATTTCCACTGGCATTCCTGGATTAAATAGTCCTAACAGGATTAGTAGATCCACCATTTTAAAGCCTAATAAAGACATCACTGCGAAGAAATATAAATGCTTCAAATGCAGTGTAAACTAACCAGTTTAATTAGTACAAATGTGCAATATCAAAGTGTAAACAAATGCAGCATTTTTTCTTCATACCTGAATACTTAAATCAGAACACATTAAGTGATTGCTAAGGATTCTTGTAAAAATAGATCATATTCAATATTTCTCAGACATTCAAAAGGGACCATCAAATACTTCCCGAACAGACATGGATCTGGCCAGGGCCTGCTCAGCTCTCGGCCCGCGCGCTGTCGGGCTGCTGGGAGTCTGGAGCCGGGAGGAGGCTCTGGGAGACGCCGGCCAGGGCCTGCAGTTTCCGCTGGGTGTCCTGCAGCTGCCGGCTCTTCTCCCGGTACAGCTCGTCCAGGGCCCGGGCGCGCGCGTGCAGGGACAGCCGCCGCC